GGGTTGGTTGCTTCGCCAACGCGTACGCCGAGGAGGGGACGCCTGGGTGGCTCCGCGGGTTCACCAAGCTTTGCAAACGCTCTGCGTTGCTTGTTAAGCTCACGCCCGGGAGCATGCCAGCAAGGTCTGTGTACATCAAAACCCTCAAACACGGCAAGTGCTCTCAGTGGGTCGCCCTGCTGCTCCTCAGTGGCCTCGCAGCACGGCCGCGGTCGCTTCGGCGGCCGCCTGGGCAGAGGGGCAGGTCTAGGTCTGCAGCCGCCGTGTTGTTTCGCTCCCTCCTGGCAGGAGGGGGTGGGTGGCCGCACCGCAGCACCAGTGTAGTGCCCACGAGCGTCCGCGTCGCGGCGCGTGGGCACGTTTCATGTGGTTGCCTTCGAGACTGGCTTGGGCCCGCACACGTGCGGGTCTCCGATGCTGAGGGCCCTGAGTAGGGATCCTGCTGCCAATTGGGGGGAGCGGACGCACTCGGCTCGGTGGGGCGCGGGCAGTGTGGGACTCCGTGGCTTGCTGAAGGAGGGAACAGAAAAGGGCGGTGGGGGATTGCCCGGGCGAGGCCGCCAATTCGGCTAATTCCTGCTCGCCACCTGCCAGGAGCTCCGATGCCGCCTCCATCCACGCAGGTGGGCATGCGGCGTGGGCTTGGGAACGGCTCCACAGCAGCGCGACCAGCAACGCCCCAAGCAGCGCCCCCAAACACAGCCAGCCCAGCACACAGAACAGGGGCCCCACCCGGGCGAGAAGTATCGCGGCGCTCCGGCAACACAGGTGCACAGCGGCCTCGCGGCAGGCCACAGGCAGCTGAGCGGCCGTGGGCATCGCCGCTCGAGCGGATTCGAGAGCCCATCGCACGGCGGCCACAAGAAGGGTCGCCCGAAGGCCATCCGGCGGAAGGAGGAAGGAGGTCCAAAGTAACGGAAATTGGGCCAGGAATGTGCCGCTCGCAAGCTGTCGCACGCCAGATGTTGTGGCTCCCACGCGGCTGCAGCCGCCGTCTTGCATGGGCATGGCCTTTGTGATCCGACACGGGTGCATGGAGACACTGACAAACATGCCGCGTCCTTGAGCCCATGTCTCCATCTTAGCCTGGGTGGCACATGCGCGGCTCCTCGACAGTTGCGAAGCTCGCTGCATTACATGCCAAGCGCTCCGTGTGACTTCATGGGAGCATGTTGGAAACTTAAACGAACCCCGCTTGCAGCTGCGACAGGCGTCACAGCAATACGATGGTATGCCAAAGTATTCGAAAGTATTCACAAGGAGGTCTGACTCCAGTGTGGCGTGCTAGACTTCCGGCCTTGCAGTTTCGCGTGTTTGATGTGGGGTCGTATAATAGCACCGCGCCTCAGTGTTTAGTCTTGGCATCTCCCTGTTTAGCTTTTCAATCATTTCTGTGGAAGACCCTGACAAGAAAAAAGATAACGCCGTAATTATGGCAAAGCCCCGCCAGGAGCCAAGACTCAAAACGAGGCATTTCCAGTACTAAAGTTCAAGCACAATCCAGTCATCACCCCAAAACAACCGAGCATAACTTAGAAAGGACCCCAAACGAGGCATTTCCAGTACTAAAGCCTTGCTACAACCCAGCACAACCCAGCCAGGACCCCAAACGAGGCATTTCCAGTGCTAAAATTGTACTACAACCAAGCACAATCCGGAAATTTATACGGGGTTATCTTGCAACCCCATGTCCTATGCGCAAATGTTGCGCCTCCTAATTATCACGAGCTCTGCTTGCGAGCAAAAGGTTTCACGGCGTCCACATTAGTACAGGTCGTCAGGTGCGTCGTCCACGTTACAGCCGAAGTTTGTTGGAACATGGCAGTCGACTGACAAAGGGCCCATGATGTTAACATCGACTTGATTGCAACATCATTTTTGAACGTCATGGCCTGGACCACTGGGTGAGGTCTGGCCTGGCAAGGGCTTGCGGTGCATTTCAATGTTGAAGTTACTGACACGGTGCGAGGTTTTCGGTTAGACATGGCCAGACCAGTGCTGTGAGCCTTGCCCACAGAACACAGGGATGAAGTCACGGCCCATCCACAGGCTTGCGCAGGAAGCAGGCCTGCGGCCCACCATGCCCGTCGCTTCGGGGCGGGGGATGGCGCAATGCCGTGTCATTGTGCGAAGAAGCTGGGTTCGGGCCAGCTGCAGTGAGGATGTGGCGTAACCTTCGCTTAAACTTAACACATTGCCTGCAGGCTTTGAGCACCACGCCGAGAGACAACAGAGCTGCAGTGATGGTCACCACAGGGAGCCACAAGCGGCGCCAAACCTACCCCGAGATTGCGAGTGCGCGACGGGCGCGTCTCGTCCTTATTGGGGTCGAGGTGGGCGAGCGCTTTGGTGCTGAAACCGCCTCCTTCCTCCAGGTGCCGCTGCGTGGGCAGGATGGGTTCAGCGCTGGTCCGGCCTCCTCGCTGTCACCGCCATGCGCGCTTTTCCGGCGTCACTATTGGAACTGCACCTGGTGGTGACCTTTGCGATGCAGGTCCTCGCCCAAGTCCGACTTGGCCCACCGCCGTTCGCAAGCCGCCGACACCAGAAGTCAGCCCGTTGGCCGCAATTCTCGTGCACTGGGACCACGGACTCGGCCCGATAACAAAAGGGGGAAAAACAACCGAGAGCTTGCTGGAGCTGCCGATCCGGCCTCGCGATGCCAGTGTTGGCGTTGAGCCGCCGCTGGGAGAGACAGGCGTATAGTAGACCCACAACCTCAATGCGGTCATAAGGAATAGCCACGCTTTCGCAATTGGCTGTTGCCGAGCATCCGCGCTGACCACGAACGCCGACGATGCGCACGTAGATTGACGGGACCGCCACATCATTGACTTCCCGATGCAATCCATATGCTTGATTTTGATCTGGATGCTCCCGGTGCCCGCAGCAGGCATCAGCACTCGAGCGCTTTGCTTCTTGTTTCTCAGATACTCTAGTCGCTCTCGAGCGTTTACTCCCTGTTTCTCAAACTCCCCAGTCCTTTTCGAGCGGTTTGCTCCCTTTTTCTCAGATATTCTAGTCGCTCTCAAGCGTTTACTCCCTTTGCTTAAAATCTTCAGTCTTTTTCGAGCGGTCTGCTCCTTGTTTCTCAAACACTGTAGACGCTCTCGAGCGGTTACTCCATGTTTCTCAAATTCTCTTTAGTCCCTTTCGAGCGGTTTGCTCCTTGTTTCTCAGATCTCTAGTCGCTTTCGAGCGTTTACTCCCTGTTTCGGACATTCTCTAGTCCTTTGCCAGCGGTCCGCTCCTTGTTTTTCAAATACTCTAGTCGCTCTCGAGCGTTTATTCCCTGTTTTTCAAATTCTCGCGTCTCGGATGCGCTTCGCCGCGAGGCCGTCGGCGCAGAAGGCCGAGTCGTCCTGCAGCAATGGCTTGCGCACACCATGGCCTCGGGAGTCGATCCACAGCACCGACGCCGCTTCTACATGGTCGTTCACGGTGCATCATCTATGGGTGGCGCCTTGTGCTGCGACGCCACCCTGGTGTCTCCATCGACCCGGACAGGTCAGCCACAACCTTGTGCTGAGGCAGTCGACGGTGCCGTGTTGCGGGTCACAAAGCGCCGCAAAACAAAAACGACGTATTGCGAGCTCGCAGCTGGCGGCAAGCAGCTGCTTGTGGTGTTGGGGTTCCGAAATCGGAGGGCGATGGAATACGGCCGCGGCGTTGTCTTGGACCGGCGGAGCCGGCAGGGCACAGTGGCGTGCCGACCAGCTGATGGCAGGGTGGAGATAGAGGCGCTAGAGCCGGTAGACTGTTGTAGGTTGGTGGGGGCTTGGGACCGCTTCTGCACGGAGGAAAAGTCTGTGGAGAAAAGCAGGTGAAGGTTCAAGGTTGTAATTAATTAAACCCTAGACCAACGCTAGGGGCACAGTGATGGTGACAGAGGGCGAATGAACACGGGGCGTCTGCGCAAAAGCCAAGTGACTTACACTAACACCAGATTGAGTGAATAGGTGGAAGACGTTTGGTTGAGTTTAGTTACATTTCGCGCAATTCATATCATTGAGGTTTACTTTGCTGCCAATTTGTCCCTGATGGGCTGAATCCCTGTACCAGGACTTCCCAGTCCCCATCCATTGTTATCGTCTTACTCGACCCAGAGCCTGAGAATTCCGTGTGCAAGCCGTTTCCCTGAACACCGTCTATTTGGCTTGGCTGCACCCAAGCCCCGATTTTGTTGGCCCGTAGATCAACACAGCCAGTCTCAAGCAAAGGTTTCACCTCAACCTACTCAGCACCATCAGCCTCTACTGGCTTGTCCGAGCGTGAAGGCCGAAACTAAGCCATTTTGGCTGAAGCCATTTTGGCTCAAGCCATTTTGGCTCGCAGATGCGCCTTCCATCTGAAAACCGTTCACAGCTCCCAGGTCAAGGTGTGGAAAGTCGCGTGGACCAACCTTTTGCATGTACGACTGGGAATGGAATGCGACAAAGGCGCGAGCTTCACTGCATCCTGCGATCGGGGATCGTGTGCTTGTCAGGGAATCGGATGCACCATTTCCGACGAGCTTGTGGCAGAAGCTCACAACGCAGTGTTCATCGCTTCATCAACGAGGCTACGCAACACCTCCCGCCACAAAACATCGGAAATCCAGACGCTGCACCGGGCCCAGGCGTGGCTCTGTTCTCGGCTGCTCGCTCGGTTGCACGATCGTTGATGAACCGCGGCTGTTCGTGTCTAACATGTCTCGTGCGGCGTAGATCTCAGGGGTTCAGTGGTCGCTGCCTTTTTTCCTGCTTGCCCCCTCAGGCACAGGTCAGGCTTCTTGGCAAAAGCACCGGCGGCGTTCAAGCGGACGCCGTCGGTGGAAATGTAAAACCCTGTACACTGCTTGGGTTGCTCGTCGAGGAAGCCTTCAACCCTTTACACAAAAAGACTGAACCCAACAGACAGACTGTGGCTTCCAAATCTACTGCACTCCCCAAGTCAACATCTCTTGAAATCCTACTTCTAAGCCATCTCTGACTGAGCAACCCCTTTCGTGAGAGGAGGCTTCACTGCTCGTCCTCCACAAAAATGCTATCCAACTTGAAGGGCTGCTTCAGCTCCACCAAGAGGGAGGACACAAACTGCGGCACCTGAGAGAACCTCGGTGAGCAGAGAGGACCACGGCCAAGGTCAGTGGTTCGGGAGTGTTGGGTGTAGGCCGGGTGCATGAAGGCTTACAGGGTTTAGGGAGTTTATAAGGGTTCAGGGTTTAGGGTCTAAGCTTTGTTCCATGGGTTTAGGGGTGGGGGGGGGGGTTGGCGATCATTGAGTGCAAGCGACGGACTAGGGTAGAGGACATGTCTTCCGAAGCACCGAACCCCGATTGGACCCATTGAAGCTCCTGAAGCCCCAAACTTCATACGGAAAGAAGCGTCCATCCCTGAGGCTTGAGATCCCTAAACCGCCAAAGCCCTAAACCTTAAACATCTCGCAAGCCCTGTGCCTCAAAATCTCGAAACCGCACAAACCCGTTAAGAACCCCTCAACCTTAAAGTCACTAATCCCCGGCCCGTAACCCCTCAAAAACCCCGAAACCCTCAAACCTAAACCCTGCTAGAACCGTAAAAGCCCTGTCACAAAGCTTGCAGAACCCACTAACCTCCTGGAACCCCTAAACCTTAAAATCTTTACACCCTTATAAACCCTGAACCTTACAATCCCTAAACCCTTATAACCCCTAAACCTTAAAATCCCTAAACCCTTATAACCTCTAAATCTTAAATTCCACAAAACCCCCTAGAACCCCTAAATCGTGAAATCCCTACACCCTTATAAACCCTGAATCTTATAATCCCTTAACCCTTACAGGCCCTAAACCTTAAAATCCCTAAACCCTTATAAACATTTATAACCCCGAAACCTTAAATTCCACGAACCTCCTCGAACCCCTAAACCTTAAAAGTTCGAACCCTATAAGCCCTAAACCTTAAAATCCCTAAACCCTTATAATCCCTAAAACTTTACATTCCACAAACCTCCTAGACCCCTCAACCTCAAATTCCACAAATCCCTAGAATCCCAAAACCTTACAATCCTAAACCCTTATAAGCCCTTAACCTTAAAATCCGTACACCCTTATAACCCCTAAACCTTAAAATCCCTGAACCCTTATAACCACAAACCTCCTAGAACCCTTAAACCTTAAAATCCTTAACCGCTTCTAAACCCGAATCCTTCAAATCCCGAAACCGCTATAAGCCCTGAACCTTAACATCCCTAAACTCTTATACGCCCTAAACTTTTTGCCTAAACCTTCAATCCCACAAACCTCCTCGAAGCCCTTAACCTTAAAATCCTAATTCCTATAAGCGCAGAACCTTAAAATCCCCGAACCCTTATAACCGCAAAACCTTAAACTCCACAAACGTCCTAGAACCCCTAAACTTTAAACTCCACAAATCCCTAGAACCCCAAAACCGTAAAATCCCAAAGCCCTTCTGAGCCCTAAACCTTAAAATCTTTACACCCTTATAAACCCTGAACCTTACAATCCCTAAACCCTTATAACCCCTAAGCCTTAAGATCCGCAAACGGTTATAAGCCCTAATCCTTCAAATCCCTAAACCGTTATAAGCCCTAAACCTTAAAATCCCTAAACCCCGTAGACTACTACAAAAACCAGAAACCTCAAAAAGAACCCTAAACCCTAAAATCCTTGAAAACCCAAAAAACCCTGAAGAGCCCTTGAACCTCAAAATCTCTAGACCCTTCCACCCCGAAAGAACTGTAGACACCTGTCAGAGCCTATAGAGAGACCCTAAACTCCCCAAGCTTCATGAATTTTCGTGAACACCCTTAAGGACCACTAGACCCCAAAACCCCGAAGCCCCTACACCCTTTTAACCCCTGAAGAAGCCGTTTTTCAACAGGTCCGAGGAGCCCCTTCCGAGCCAGCTCCTGCCGAATTCGCTCGAGCAGCTCCGCATAGGTCAGCTCTTCCTGACCTGCCCCAGGGTTTGGGTTTGGGTTTAGGGTT